GACACTCTGAGAAAGGAATGTTATTTTGACTATATATATCTCTCCCATACTCCATATACCCCCCCTCCCATTTTCCCACAGCATTGAATGTGGCAGGCCTGAAGGCCCGATGCAAAAGATGGCTTCCAGACCTGACAGAAATGCTCATCATCTCAGAGAGGAGGAGTGACTGCCTTGGCCCTTTTTCCTCAAAGAGCATTGGCTTCTCCCTTGGGGTTTTGGCTTTTGTGTGTGTGGTCATTCTTGTCTGGAGAATGGGCACAGGCTGTCTGTCTCCGGTTGCTTTCCTTCTGCAGCCTGCTAATAGTGCTCAAGGCAGCTTTGCTGGTACAAACCGTTCAGCTGAAACAATTATGTCCATTGTACCATGACCCCATTCAAATGGATTTCCCTCCAGAGCTTGTAATTCCTATAATTATTTTCTTCAAGCTGTAACCCTACAGGTTGTCTGTATGCAAACTCCTTAGTCACGATACAAGTTGGGTCTTGATTAGTGCCGTTAATGAATTCCACAAAGGGGGGTCGCATCGATCGAGTTTGCATTATTCAAAGTGATGTTTCTGTAAAAAAAAAAAAGACAACGATGGGTTGCAGAACGATGGAAATGAGCAAGGAAAATGTTTAAACATACATTTTTGCATGTATATTAATGAAATGTCATGAAGTCTAAAAAGAGTATGCCTTAAATGTATAGCAGTAGTACTTATATACCGCTTTACAGTGCTCTACAGCCCTTTCTAAGTGGTTTACAGAGTCAGCCTCTTGCCCCCCAACAATCTGGGTCCTCATTTTACCCACCTCAAGAGGATGGAAGGCTGAGTCAACCTTAAGCTGGTCAGGATCGAACTACTGGCAGTTGGCAGAATTAGCGTGCAATATTGCATTCTAACCATTGACAGAGGGAGGGAGGGAAGGAAGGAGGAAAGGAAGGAAAATAGCAATAGCACTTAAACTTATATATCGCTTCATAGTGCTTTACAGCCCTCTCTAAGTAGTTTACAAAGTCAGCCTCTTAACCCCAACAATCTGGGTCCTCATTTTACCCACCTCAAAAGGACGGAAGGCTGAGTCAACCTTAAGCTGGTCAGGATCGATCTACTGGCAGTTGGCAGAATTAGCGTGCAATATTGCATTCTAACCATTGAGAGAGGGAGGGAGGGAAGGAAGGAGGAAAGGAAGGAAAATAGCAATAGCACTTAAACTTATATACCGCTTCATAGTGCTTTACAGCCCTCTCTAAGTAGTTTACAAAGTCAGCCTCTTAACCCCAACAATCTGGGTCCTCATTTTACCCACCTCAAAAGGACGGAAGGCTGAGTCAACCTCGAGCCTGGTGAGATTTGAACTGCCAAATTGCAGGCAGTCAGCAGAAGGAGCCTGCAGTACTGCACTCTAACCACTGTGCCACTGCGGCTCATGATGAAGTCAAGGAGTAGCTATAGAAAACAGAATAAAAACAAAAACTTCCTTTTTTGTTAAATTTATATGCCACCCATCTCCCTGATGAAGTAACTGAGCAGCTTAAAAAGTATGAAAAGATAAATATAAAATCAATTATGATACAATCTTAAAAACAATATAATAACTAGAACCAAGG